GGGATTTTGCACAACCTCATCCAGAGGTTAGGCTTTCACGCGCAAGATCGAATGTCCTTGGTTCGAATCCTGTGGGCGGCAGGAGTTGTGGATACTCACTGCTGATGAGTTTTAGACCAAGATAAAACGACGCTCCAATGCTCCCAGGTTTCTAGTATTGGTCTAACAATCAATGATCTATGATTTCAGTAATAAACTACAATCTTCGTAATTCTATAATGAAAATGTTATGCTCGTCTCTAGGTATGCTTAAAGTATTACGAGTTCACCTTAGTCGAATAATGAGAACTAAACAATGAACCAGCGTCCAGGTAGGCTACTGTGATCCGTTGACCCAACTGTACCAGCAAGAAGTCTTGATATAACGTAGAAAGTATATTCCACAAACACCCAGTCAGCACACAATGAATCCAAGCACTCAAATTGCGTTTATTTATACGCCGTAGAGACGTCCTTGGGACAGTCACAAAAATCGCACATTAAAATGACACAGTAACCAATCACAGCCAAGGATTTTGCTGGCGGGAAATGTGATCTCAAGGTCAACTGATCGGTCCATGAAATAAATCCAAAAAAGATATTTTTCAAGCGAGTTCTTAGGATCTAACATCCCTAATACCCCCCATTCTTATTAGCGTGTGCTCCCGGGGTCGACCTGCATCTTGACTGTTGTTCGCCACTGTCTGAGAGGATACCTTCCGGAACGGAGATCAGCCTGTGACTGAATTTCTTCTCGTGGGGGGCTGGCTGTTGGTTGGTCAAATGTATCAAGCAGGATGTCAAGGGGGATATTTTCTGCTCTTGATGGACGATCTCGTGCTAGCCGTTTGCGTACCTAGTTTCGATGGTGTGACCATCTTTCGCCTCCTATCTCTACTTCATACATAACTCTCCCAACTCTTCTGATCACTCACGCTTCTACCCAGGGACCATGCTTTGTTCTGTAGTCACGGGCGAACACAGAGCATCCCACTTCGTAATTGGATTGCCTTTGCTGCTGTTGTTGCATTAATCGGATGAATCAGGTTGTGGATCGTTTTCAATCTTCTACCCATCAGGATTTCTGCTGGAGACTTTTGATCCGGTAACAAGTCATTTGGTGTTGTCTGATAGACGTACAAGAAATTTTGTAATGCGTGGGCTAGCGTCCCCTCCCCTTTTGACTTAACCAGTGCTCTTTTAAACGTATCCACAAACCTTTCCACTTGCTCATTCGATTGCGGGTGGTATGGTGGCGAGCGTAAGTGTTTAATCGTTAGCCGTTGGCAGAAAGTTTGGAATTGTGTGGAGGTAAATTGAAACGCATTGTCAGATACGATCACATCTGGAATGCCTCTTGGCGAGAAAATTTCACTAAGGAGCTGTATTTTTTTAGTTGTCGTGGGCGGCGTTACGGGGTTGATTTCTGACCATTTTGAGAATGAGTCGACCACTACTAAATACATAGTTTTAAAAATTTCATTAAATAGTTAATTCAATGAAAAGCAAACAAAATTACTTTTAACAGTATAACATACGTCTATTAGGACATATTTTTCCAAATTTCAATTTTTAAATGAAAACTATGACACATGCAGCATTATAGACAAGGTATTTTTTTTAGTTAATTTGAAAAATGACAGATATTTTTCAAAACTATCTAGTCTAGTTGTGAAACTCTCATTTACTTAGTAGACAAAAAATTACCAAGTGATATTTTTGGGAATTGTAAATGAAAGGTCAAGAAAATGTCTATTTTTTCAATTTCATCATACTTATGTAACACTTTTCATTATAGGGTTGTGGAAATTTTTAAGTTACATTTTAATCATGAATCAATCAGTGTTAGACAGACATTAAAAACCTGAAAACACACTGGACGGTCGTTTCGTCCTAGTACTGGACTCATCAGCAATGCGAATTCACGAACACCTCAGGCAGGAATCGAATTCAAGACTTTCGGTCTCGGGTGCCAATGCCTAGCTACTAGACCACTCAGCCGGCACCCAACAGATTCAATTTCTAACTTTAGTCAATCCACCGAGGACAATAGATCAAGTACCAAGCAGTACCATGTATTGATTGAAATTAGACATTCATCCTGCTGGATACTGGTGGTCAAGTATCTGTTCAGTACTTCCGACTTTCTAATGGTATTCTAATATTGATCTGTTCATTGTTTCAGTCAAACTTATGTAATACTATAACTGTTAGGTTGTTCGAATCAGTTACAGGAAAACTGTACCTCATACCAATTACTGCCCATCAAGCAGGCGTAGCTTAATTCAAAAAGATAACTGGTACTCTCAATGAGATTCTAATCCATGTCACTCACTTTCATGGACAGAGAGTGTATCACTAAGCTGAATGAAATAAATGATTGATAAAGTAATGTCTTTTTGATGAAAGCATTTTGCCGAAAAATTGCTATCAATAAGAAACGCATTTTTTTACTTCTACTTTCTAATTTATAAATATCATGTTTATTAGATTAGCTTTTCCTTGAGACACTAGTTTTACTCCGAGTCCTCGGAAAAATAAACCCTATTTCTACTGTGTACATCAGGCGTTTACGTAACTTACGTACGTAACTTACAACCAATCAAGATCGAGGTTAGCAGAACAAGCTACAGGTCAAACGTGGAGAAATTCTAATGCTTCACTTCTATCTGAAGTTCGTGCTGATGATGTTGTTCAGAAGAACAATGAAAGCTCCACAACCAAAACAACCAGCTCAGAGAACAAAACACCACCACAATCATCCACCTGAGCTACAAGTTTTCTCCACCATCTCAAAATAGAGCTTAGTTTAATCAAATCATATTGGAAATCCATGAACGTTGTTGTGGTTGGTATTCGATGCAATTTCTCAACTTCGTATACTATTTGTTCTGATAATCGTCACCAGATAATGCGTCATGGTGTATACAAATCAGAAGACGAGAATATGAAGCGCCGATGACGTCGATGATCGCGCCACTTACAGATCATCAAAAACCACAGACATACGAAGTGAAAGAGAAATGATATGTGAGTGCCGAAAAGCAAGTGAGCGAGCAAGCAGGATTAAAGTGCACAAATATATACATAGGAAAATGAATGTCATTGAACTATTTAAGCGACTTTGTGCCTAGTCGATAAGCAATGCTCAAGCCTAGATACTCAGACAAGATCAACAATAATAAAAGTACAATGGCATAGATAAGTCGTTACTATTTAAAATGACACTGTCTGTTAAGTAAGTTAATCAAAAGAGCTTAATCGAAATAAATGTAGACAAACCCAAATGGATGTGAGTTCCTATAGATTTGATAAATGCATAGTATATTCAACTTCTTGTTCTTGCTTTTGTTTGTATTTACTTTAAGTGAGAAAATGGAGAAAAAAAATTATAAAACAATTTGAATGCTTTTCTAACTTGATAATAAAATGTTCTTATGTTTTCCTGTTATGTTCAACACTAGGTACGCTTGAAACTATTACGAGTTCACCTTAGTCAATAAACGCGAACGAGACAATGAACCAGCGTCCACGTAGGCTACCTTGATCCCGAAAACGGCTAAAGAGAAGTCTTGATATAAGCGTAGAAAGTATATTCTACAAGCACCCAGCAGTCACAATACAGTCAACCACATAACTCTCGTTTATTTATACATCATAGAAACGTCCTTTGGACACAGCATCCAATCACAGCCATGGATTTTGCTGGTGGGAAATGTAATCTTCAGGTCAAATGATCAGCCCATGTTCGGAAACGTGAAATCCAAAATAAGGCATTTATCAAGCGAGTTCTAGGGATCTAATATCCCCATCATTTCCTTGTTTTAATTGTAATGTTTTTATGATCTATCATTCTGAACTTTCAAGATAAAGCCAACCAAGTCTGCATATGTTCATATTTTCTGTCTGCCCATACCTGAGCAGCATCATTAATAAACAATGTGGATCTGAAGCGGATGTGAAGGCGCGGATCGACAAAGCAAAGATAGCATTTCTTTAATTGAACAATAACTGCAACTAAAAACAACAGTCCGTCAACCAACAATAAATCACAATTTTCAATACAAATGTCAAGACAGTTCTCTTGTACTGAATGGAAACTTGGATAACTAAGAATTTGATGGCCAGACACCACCAACAAAATTCAAATGCGGGATAAATCAAACCAGATTCCAGAAGATGAAGAAATTAGGAAAAACGTGATGGAAGTGAATAAGATACACGCTGGGGAAATGAGCACGAGGTGAGCTCTCATTTGGAATCCTGAAGGTCAACGGAAACGAGAAAGACCAAAGTATATATTATGCTGAGAATTAGAGATAGATATGAAAAGAATGAACAGCAATTGGGTAGAACCTAAAAGGAAGGTGCAGGACAGAGTTGGTTGGAGAATACTGGTCGGCGGCCTAAGCTCCGTTGAGGGTCACGGTCGTAAGTTAGTAAGTTTCGTTAAGTACAAGATTAAACACATATGTATATACTTATACATATATTTTTAGTAAAAATAAATCTCCCAAAGATTTACCCCTGTTACAGCTAACAGGGCAGTTTTAAAAGTTTTAGTTTACATTCTCGAGATCGATTCGTTACAGTAGTGTTACAATCGTTTATTGCCATCAAGGGATAGCTGCTACTACAAGTTATAACTATTGACTAATAAGTGTTTACATAATATTGAAGAGTTAATGAAGTAGTAGTAGTAGTAGTAGTAGTAGTAGAAGTAGTAGTAGTAGTAGTAGTAGTAGTATTAGTATTAGTAGTAGTATTAGTATTAGTAGTAGTAGTAGTAGTAGTAGTAGTCGGAGTAGTAGTAGTAGTAGTAGTAGTAGTAGTAGTAGTAGTAGTAGAGTAGTAGTAGTAGTAGTAGTAGTAGTAGTAGTAGTAGTATTAGTAGTAGTATTAGTATTAGTAGTAGTAGTAGTAGTAGTAGTCGGAGTAGTAGTACTAGTAGTAGTAGTAGTAGTAGTAGTAGAGTAGTAGTAGTAGTAGTAGTAGTAGTAGTAGTAGTAGTAGTATTAGTATTAGTAGTAGTAGTAGTAGTAGTAGTCGGAGTAGTAGCAGTAGTAGTAGTAGTAGTAGTAGTAGTAGAGTAGTAGTAGTAGTAGTAGTAGTAGTAGTAGTAGTAGTAGTAGTATTAGTATTAGTAGTAGTAGTAGTAGTAGTAGTCGGAGTAGTAGTAGTAGTAGTAGTAGTAGTAGTAGTAGTAGAGTAGTAGTAGTAGTAGTAGTAGTAGTAGTAGTAGTAGTAGTAGTAGTAGTAGTAGTAGTAGTAGTAGTAGTAGTAGTAGTAGTAGTAGTAGTAGTAGTATTAGTATTAGTAGTAGTAGTAGTAGTAGTAGTAGTAGTAGTAGTAGTAGTAGTAGTAGTCGGAGTAGTAGTAGTAGTAGTAGTAGTAGTAGTAGTAGTAGAGTAGTAGTAGGGTTGTACATTTTCAGTTGTCTGTCTACTACAACACATTAAAACAACTCTTCAGTTTTCCATATTATTCTACGATTCACTGGCAAAAGTTAATCTACATTGATAAATATCTTTAAAACTAAGTGGACGAATTTAACTTTTTTTTATAAAATCCCAATAAATTATTTTAAATATTCTAATTTGTAAATATTTATTTGTTCACAAAATGTTTTTTAGATAGAATTACTTTCTGGGTACATGATTTTTAAAAATAAATATTTCTCACTGAAAACGAACATTGAACAATCACAAATAAAATATAGTTATTACTGAAATCATAAGATCAATCATTGTCTGACCACCTGGGAACACTGTACGGCTGTCGATTTCTGGTATGGGACTTACCAGCTGTGCGTATCCGCGACTCGTTCCATCCGCAGGATTCGAACCTAGGACCTTCGGTCTTGCCCGCGAACGCCTAACCTCTCGACCACCTATCAGGCATGAAAGATGCCCATGTCTAACTCCGATCAGTTTATGGATTTTGTGCAGACTCACCCATAGTTTTCAGTAGTTACTACCTATACTCAACAGGGTTGAACTCCACCGGTCATGTCTTCTCACTAGAACTCAGAGAATTTCCTCACGATACTAGTCACTATAGTGAGCACAGAGGTTAGGCGTTGCAGCACAAGACCAAAGGTCTGGTATTCGGTTTCTCCGAATAGTAGGATTCATGGATGCGTACTGCTGATGAGTACCATGTCAGGACGAAACGATTGTCCAGTGCTTCAAGTTTGCTAGTATCGGTTTATTCGTAATTGATTCAGTAATAAACAGTAAACTCTATAACTCATTCATGAAAAGAAACATATAGTTAAATATTTCACTGTTTAATTCATTTAACACACATCAAAACTCACTAATAATCATAATTTTCTGTTCAATGAAAAAATAAGTTTGATTTTTATTGAATCGATTCAATGAATCAATAATTTACGTTTTATCAAATAGTAAATTAGTAAATTATGTATATATATATATTCGTTATTTCTCATTTTCTAATCTTTATACATTGTAATTTATCTCACATTATAGAGATTAGACATTGTTACAACACAGAGCAGATAAGTAGTATTTTCACATATTTCTCTATGTTTCCTATTAGGTAGTGTGAGAAATTGAGAGTGAAGTAACCAGAGAGAGAGAGAGAGATAACAATCGTAAACATTTACTATGGTTTCAGTTTAGTTTGAAAAAAAAAAGATTTTCTTTTCCTGTCTAATATTCGTTTATCAGATTAGGTGTATATGTATATATATATAAATATATTTTCCCCAATTGGTATATTACAGATATTTTGTTATGACTTCTTACATGATATCAATGTTTCAGTGTTCTTCACTGGATGTTTTGAAAATTTTCAATGGTGTGGACATATTGGCCAGTTTATTTCTGTTTTTTTCCGTTATATCGATGAAATGCTGGTAAGCAGCAGATTTGTTACTCGTCTATTGCTCATTAGTAGTGGGTCAAATGTGAAACGAATGTCCAGGGTGTTTTATTTTGGAGTTCTTTATGTGATGACGCTCAATTGAAACTCATTTCTGCAAAACTTTTGAGTTAAGTAGAAAAAAATTTAGAATATTAAAGATTCCCATTGTGAATAATTAGGAACAATACAAATATAAGTGAACAATACTGTTGTTTTCAATTAGATCGTCATTAGACTTAAATTAAAAATATACATGAATATTTGTATATGAAAACGTTAAATTAGTCCAGGTAATTTAATCATCAATAATCACAGTTACAGAACTAGACATCGAAGGTGAAAAAGTACAAGATGATAGTAGGAAGACAGGTGTACTGATAGTGGAGGTAAGAATAATAAAATACGATATCCAGCGTTTTTGCATTACGGGGTTGTGAAGATTGTTAAGTTACAAGTTTGATATCATGAATCGATCACTGTTAGACCATCATTAGAAACATGGAAGCACCGGACGGACATTTCGTCATGGTACGGGACTCATAAGCAGTGCGTAACCAGGATTTCTGTACCCCGCAGGATTTGAACTCATGACCTTCGGTCTTGCGCGCGAACGCCTAGCCTCTGGAAAACTGGACTGGGATCTAACGGTGTTATTGTTTAGATCTGATCTGTCTAAGGATTTTATGCAGCCTCACAATGATTGACTGATGATTTCAGCGTGTTCAAAACCCTAGTCTCCATAACTGAGCCGGTATCTAATGGTGTAAACGTTTAACTTCGATTAATTCTCGGAGTTGCGCAACCTCATACACTATCTTCAGTGGTTACTGTTTACACCCGAACAGGTTGAAGTTCACTGGTCACGAATTCCCACAAGAACTTGGAGAAGATTCCTCACAGAGCTAGTCACTAGTGAGCACATGTAATTGCATTACAAGATTGTGAAGATTATTAAGTTACGCATTTGAAATCATGAATCCTGCAAGGTGCAGGAGTCGTGGATGCGCGCTGCTGATGAGTCCTATACCAGGAAGAAACGATCGTCCAATGCTTCCAGGTTTCTAATGGTGGTCTAACATTGTTCGATTCATGATTTCAAATGTGTAACAAACGTTTTCATCAATAGTTCAACATTGGGATATATCAGGTCAAACGTAGATAAATAGACTTAAAATAATTACCACAAAAACATTAAAACCATTGCTTAATAAGAATGGTGTAAATAATTAGATAGCGAAGAAGAATAAAAAAAGGAAAGAGGCAGAAAATCACAAACAAATACAGGACGTGAAAATAATGCTAATAATAACAAAAATAAGATAAAAATACAAAAGTATTTTCTATTAAAAGGTTTGTTAATTTTTATAGGATTATCACGAATTTCCTCTAAACACGCCATAGTGTTTATGAATGAACACGTATTGTCTGAAAGCTGTTTAATTCATTGCAGCATGATAGATTTTTAACCGTCTTGATTAAAGAGAGTGAATATGGTCACTCTGCGTGAGAAATGTCTTCGTTAACTATCTGAATAATGATCCTTTTTCCATCGACTGAATTTGGATGTTTGATAATGGACGATAGATTGAAGATATTACATAACAGAACACTGACCAATGTGGACCACCGAGGATTGCTCACATTCTATAGATGTCCTTATAACCCGAAAGTTTTTGATTTGGTTCCCACTAAAAGTGACAGGGCATACTGACAAGGACTATTCATCAAAAGTTATTTAGTCCTTCAGATAACAATTGTAAAATACAATTGAGAAATACCCGAATCTTTGAATAAAGCAAAGCTAGTCCCAGTGCATCTATCATCTGAGTGATTTTTAAACTTGATATTTGTGTGCATATGTGAGCTTCAAGTCCTGGTATGGATTCATCAGCTCTGCGCATCCGCTACTCATTCTATTCGCAGGGTTCGAACCCAGGACGTTTGTTCTTACGCGTGAAAGCCTAACAACCTCTGTACTACTCAGCCGGCATGCAAGATGCTGATGTTTAACTCTGATCAGTTTATGGATTTCGTGCAGCCTCACCGATAACCTTCAGTAGTTATTGCCTACACTCGACAGGGTTGGTAAAGTTTTCTTACTAGAACTCTGAGAATTTCCTTACGATACTTGTCACTAGTGAGCACAGAGTTTAGGTGTTGCAGTGCAAGACCGAAGGTCTGCGATTCGTTTTCTGCGAACAGTTAAGTATTCTATTTAAAATATCAATTTATTTCATGGTAGCCTTATTTCATTTGACAATTTCCTTCTCTTGTGATAATGATACTAGAATGTTCTTGTCTAATTCGTTTATCTAATCTATTTTAAATAAAGTTGTCCGACAATATTTTAATGTTTTTAGACTATTTTTTTCATACTGTTGATTTAGTAGTTAGGTCAACTGTTGGTTAAATGTACTAATGACCAGAAGATAATCTACCTTTGATGTCAAACTCTTTAAGCAGGTAGCCTAATAGTTATTATATGATGAGATTATCACTACTTATAATGAACAAAAAATAATTAAAGAGCTTTTGATTCAAAGAGATTTTTGTGTCACATGTTCAAAGAGATTGTTCAATATTCAAGTTTATCTCATCAACTGACCTTGAACAATCATATAAAATTAAGAAGCATTAAACAGCTGTAAATATTTTTGATTAGAAGTTTAATTTAAACTTGGATTTTAATCAATTAACTTCTATGACTACATGAATAATTGAACATTATGAAATTATTTCTGATTATTAAACGTCAGTATTCGAAATATAATTTGTAATAAAATAAACGGTAAATTAGACAGAACGTGTAAATTAGTAAAAAATTCACTGATCACTTTTGTAAATCTCGTTTCTTCTTAACTTATAATAATTTCTGGTCTGATAAGCTTCATTTGTCATGATTCAATATATGATATTATAGATAACCAATATGAAAATTCGAACAATACTGTTGTTTCTACACATTTGAAATCATCAATCAATGATTGTTAGACCACCATTAGAAACCTGAAAGCACTGGACGGCCGTTTCGTCCTGATATGAGACTCATAAATGACAGTGCGCATCCACGACTCCTGCACCTCGCAGGATTCGAACCCGGGACATTAGCACAGTCGGATGCCGGCCTAGTGATCTGTAGGTTTGGCGTTCGCGCACAAGACCGAATGTCCCGGGTTCGAATCCTGCGGGGTGCATGATTCATGGATGCGCACTGCTGATGAGTCCCATACCAGGACGAAAAGACCATCCATTGTTTTCAGGTTTCTAATGGTGGTCTAACAATCATTGATTGATGATTTCAAATGTGAAGAAACGCAAATCTCCAAAGCTCTAACTGAAAATACTGTTGTTTTCAATTAAATCGCCATTAGACTCGGTTATAATATACGTAGATATTTATAAGAAAATGTTAAATTAATCAAAGCAATTTATGAGCCAGTGAAGACAATAAAACAGATTACGTAACTACACTACTGCGCTTATGTATTACACGTCTATCCTATTGTTGACTGACTATGCTTCATCGCATTCAGTTGGCCTGCTCGCCTTCTACTCTACTTTGCTT